AATGATTACCTTCAACAGCACATGTCGTCTGCTACGTGTCATTGGTAAGATATCCTCAAATGGTGAGTACTAACTAAACTTGCCATATGCATCTGTCGATGTTTGTAGGATGGCGTATTCACAGAGACTAAAATGTGTATTGAGAGCAACGTTCTTGACTGGAGATGAATGTTTTGATAAATAGAAATGCTCAGGTCTAGAAAATAACGGTGTGCTAGTGCGCATTACCTCGCATTATATAATGAACAAGTTAACTCTAACCGGCTGCTTAGGCGACGCGATGTTGTAGTTGAGCCTATGTAGGATATTTCTGCCGACTTCTTTTGTTGACCCTCTTCAGTAGAATTTTGGATTCAATATATTTTGGCAGCTGGGATATTTGTTGTCGTGTACTCTTTTTACTTAATAGATAAAAGATTACACTCGTCCTCAAAAGTTATTCTTGAACCTACATATTTAAATCTATACCGAGACAGTCAATATTTAAACACCGTACATATTATTATCAGACTCCGGTAAAAGTTTTATTGCGTAGATAATAATATTTAAAAAAACTTTTTTTCGCAGGCGAACAATAACCAAAATTATGTAGAATTCTATCAAACTTCTTTGCGCAATAAAGTCACCCCTGAAGAGTTTCATGAATGTTCTTATTTTAAAAAAGGGGCTGCAACGCACCAAAATATTCTTAAATTCACTGTTATGTATATTGAAAAGAATTGAAGAGAACGCACGAAAATAATGCAGCTTCTTTGAAATGTTGTTTCAAAACGGTATATTGGAATCGAGAGTTCGACTCACCTGAAATAAGAACTTAGATCCTGTTGTATCTACGTTCCGCTTGGTGAGTTTCCTTTATACCCTTAAATCCGAGTAAAAAAGTAAATGGAAAATCCAACATCTAGATAAGTTATCAAAGTTATCACTCGGCAGATACCAAATGCTACTTGAAAGTTTTTTTGTTTTGTTTTTCCGTCTGCCCGCATATCAGGAGATGACTCTGCTTATCTTTGACATGTATGTCTCTCCACTTTTTGTATCGGAAATACCAGCAACTGAGACAAATTGTTGTGAAAACCCAAGGCCGGGCATGAACTATAGAACTACAGACATACAAATGCACGTGAGTACCCAGGAGTTGCAGGCGAGACCGATAAAATCATTCTGTAATGGAAATTCTTGTCTGATGCCAGATTGCTTACACGACGGAGCACGATAAAACTGTTGCATCAATGCTTCTGTCAACCGCCCATATCGCTGGTTAAATACTAAATTGCCTTTACATTGGCATATATACACGCAGAAGATATTTATAAATGCATATATTACAGAGGTATTTTCGAATTGGTTTAATACTGAAATGTTTAAGACATAGATATAACTAAAATGTAAGTAGTTTACTAACAACTGAAATCAACAAAATTTACATAAAACTGAAACGTTTGAAATGTACGTTATATAATAACACTGAATTAACATTGAAATATTCTTAGATGCGCCATGTTCAAATTGCTTGTGTACACGTCCTTCGCGTACCTATAGATGTACTAGATCGTTATCAGCAGTGAAATGGATACTTTATTGGCTTTCATAAAACAAACTTAAGCCAATGTTGTTAGCTTTCCTTTCTTATAACAAGTGTTCGCAATTGTTTTCCTAATATTCACTTTATATTGTTCTACCACTCAAGAATACACTATCTATGGAACAAGATGTTTCAATATTGTATGACTGCGAATAAGCAGATTATTTTTATTCGTGCGCTGTGCTCATTTCAGGCTCTTTAAATGTAGCAAACCTGCGTTGGATATGGGTCTATGAAAACAAGGGCCTACTGGGCAATGCAGGGAAAACACATAATTAAAGAAATTAGGCAATTTGTCTCAATCTAAGAAAAGTGTTGTTTATAGTCCCAATGATACAACTAATATTAAAGGCATGTTCAATTGGTTGGTTCGTATTTTTATTAGGCATCAATAACAATACATCAAAATTTTGTACTAGACGCTAGCCATATACTAGGTGTAATAATATTACTAGTAATGCATTCGGTATAGGAATGTATAGCAATACCTTATGTACGTTTCAACGTTTTTATAATACTACAGAATTAATACAACAGAATTCTCGTCCAAAATGTAAAATTTTGAACGAGAATATATGCTGCCGTTGTTCCTTTCGTTTAGATGTTACTTCACCCCTTGGAACGCGTTATCTGCATAGCGTACTGAATAGAGTAGTAAACCAAACGAATAAACGAGAAGTCAGTTACGAAAATGCGCGGAGGTCCGCAACGCCGTCCATGATGTATCTATGTTTTATTGTTTTTTTCTTTAGTACAAACGTTACTACAGACGTGAATCTGTATACCTCAAAGCTTGCTCCATACCATATTTCGTTTCCAATCGCAGCTGACGCTACAAGCTGGCGCAGCCAACTGAGCAACGCCAAATGTTTGAAGTCACCGCGCTCCTCGTCTTTGTGCGTTTGACATCGTGGAATAATCCGGTGAAGCGTAATGAATGCGCTGTCATCCTGCGCTTCCTTGTTCGTGATTGGTCTAGCCCGTGATGGCAACACCACAAAGACACCAAGCGCCATGAGGTTGCACTTTTGGGCCGGATTGATTGGAACAATCGGATTGTAGCATCAACCTCGGTCGGCTTTAATGTAAGGTGTGTCTCTACCTCCCCCCCCCCAAAAAAAAAAAAAAAAAATGAAGTTTTCTCTTTAACCGTGAAGTGAAACTATGCATGGCCGAACGCTCATTCGCAGCCGAAATGTAGCGCTGGCAGTCCGAACCAGACGCAAAATTTTCGGCATGAGCACATATGTCTTCATCCAAAGATACAAGTCATTTTGCGAAAATTTCAACGTGAAATAGGGTTCATTGTTTTCTGTTTTCGGTTGCCGGCACGAAATAGGGCTCCATGTAATCGAGAATTCTATTTGCCGATATGTTCTCAAAATAATTTTCAGAAAATCACTTAGTGCTAATAAATAAAAAATTGGTTATTGCGACTATAAATGAGTTGCTTAAATTTGAAAACAAAATAACTAAAAATCTTGTAGAGTTTGTTTTTTTCTTGCCGGAAGGGCCGGGGGGGGGGGGGGGGGCGGCGAAGGGACAGAGTATATAGTGTTGTCCCGCTAAGCGTTGCCAGTAGTGAAGATACCAGTCGGAAGCATGGGTGGGTCATAATGTCTATCCTCCCTAAAACATGAATATTTCAAGTTCATGTTCAGTGAGGAGACGAGCGAGCACGACCCTGTGTAGAGTTGCTTGTTCTTTTTTCTTGTTTTATTAGACCGCTTATTTCTTATACACTTATTATAATAAAAATAGAAAATTCAGTTAAAACGTTAATAATTGTGAGTAATCTTCAAATGTACCGTTGATAAAGGGCAATGTGACTAATAAATATTCAATAAACAAGGCGCTTAACCTTCGGGTCTAACGATTATTTCCTGTCTGTGAAGCACAGGCATGAGTATTGCGAGCCTCTTGTTGCCGGCATAATCTAGGCACTTCATTTTAGTTAGAGGCAGGACATAATTAAAATAACATTTTCCAAATTCCAGATTCGATCCTTTGTATTTTGGTATAGCGGAACAATCAACAAAATTTTAGATAAGAAGGCCAGTTCAGATATATATATATATATATATATATATATGTGTATATATATAATCTCAATGCTGTTTAGACAGTATCACGTAGTTTATTCACCTTATTATTTATGCACTCACTTCCCTATTACTTATCGAACTGATAGAAGTAGTGAGCATGTGCGCGGTTTTTCCAACTTTACTAGACCGGGTATTGTCCCAAGAAGTAACCGAATTGATACGTGTATCGGAGTTGTTGTGATAGGAAGTTGGCGAATGCCGCATCCTCCGAAAGGTCTTCATTCTAAAGATAACGTACCCATGATCTATAGAGATATCCGACGGATTGTTTCTACTGGTCCTTAAGCGGTGCGACCGCATGTATATATGGGGAAAGAAAAGTTGTACAAGATCAGTGCCATCTCCAACAATCCCGAGGAAAGTCGTTTCACATGCAAGACTATTTTCTCTTTAAACGGTTGAACCTGCAACTGTTGATTTAAAAGTGCAGCATAGGATTTTATTGACTTAAGAATCAAAAACTTTCCAACTATGTTTTGAAATATGTAAATGAATGCTCACATTTTTCTCCTCCAACGCTCAAACTAACAGCAGTAAATATATATATCTATTTTTGTTAAGATGGAGTCGAATAGACAGAGCGAGATGTCATATTTTAAATTACCTTCTTCAGTGTTGAGCTCAACCTCCCTTTTTATCTGATATACCTGGAACACTGTATTTTGTAAAGATAATAGATTGATGGGCTTCTCCCCCCACAGGTGAGACCGAAGCGCGCATTTCTACTAATATCTGCCTTTGCGTAAACACCGCGTTTATCTTAAGAATCACCACCTTTTGCTCATAAGAACCCACTTTTTTTTGGCAGCGGCATCAAAATAAGGTACTCTACCCCACTCCTGTTACTTGCTTTTTCAACTTTGGCATGTGAGTAATAATGCTAACACTCAACTTTTTAACCCTTTTTCACAATGATCACAAAGCACACCTCACAGAACGCTTCTTAACAATGGTTTCTAACAAAATCAAATAAAGTATTTGCTTTAGCGCGCCCTAGGATTTACAAACATTATTTAAATCATCTGCGCAGATACGGGAACTACAGCTCTCTCTCTCATGGAATCAGATTTTGCTACTCTAAGAGATTTGTGCTATTATCAACACCTGTTTCTTAAATAACAACATATCGATCTACCTACACTCACTTTCTTCTGTAAACTACTATCTTGTAGTTTAAATATTTATGTTTAATAAAATTCTTTGCGGTAGACCTCTTATCAGTGAATATTCGTTACCAGAAGAAATACCAAATACATTATTGAAATAATCTAAACTTATTCGTTTCTTTTCCTTCCTCCATTTAACTTAATATGCTTCCGACTCCGGTCACTATACTAACCAACAACGTCTCAAGAACTCCGAATATCGACATAAGTGTGAATCTTTAGTTTGTATAGTGATATAATATTAAGGCTCTTGAAAACAGCTGTACGCTCAACGCAGGTGAACTTTTTACTTAGTACAATATTTCACGTTTTTGCTTCCTCTCTTAATTTTAATTTACATGCTTACCGTTTCATTTAAAACTAACAGGCGCATTGTTTGGAAAACCTTGCTAACTCCTTTGATTTGAAATAAAATAATACCGTCGAAGTTCCAACATAACAATCATTAAGATTATTACAATTTGTTTCTTCTTTTTGTTGTTGCAGATGCTGCCTGTGTGTAAGTATGGCGAAATTATATATCAGAACGTCTTACGCACAATTCGGAAGTGCAACTAAATTAAATTTGGCAAAACGGGGAATTCCATGTGATTATATTCCTTTTTCAGCGAAAAGGTGAAAGAAACCGACAAGAACTCTGTCACTGAAGAAGGTAAGAACCCACCTCTGCATGTGCGAAATGAAGCACGGGGCAGAGTTCTTTATTTGTACATTGCGTTTTAATCAATTGTAGATTAAGATAACATTGAAAGTGGTGGTAGTTATTTTACAGTATTTAGGTGTAAATAATCTGACATATGTGTCATGAAGGAATCACCAGGTATTTATAACTATTATACCATTGTAGCGAAGATTAACGCACATATGCTTTACCTATGTGAATACGTTACTGAGCGGCACGTATACTAGTCGGTATAAGTAAGGAGCACCTAACGAGTCATTTATCAAAAAACTGAGTTAGGCAAGGCTATCTGTGAATGTAAACATTCGGGATAATTGCCGAACGGAAGTTGCTTGGTAACGCGCAATTACTTTAATCAACACTTCTTTCTTCTTTTTTTTTCAACAAGACACACATTTACATTTTCCTAATCCCTCATCTGTTTAATTGATATATAAAACATCTCGTACATATGAGCAAAATAATTCGGCGTTATAACTTGGACAGGAGCGATCTAATGCTAGTTTCGGCAACTTCCTTTCTATCAGTTTTAAGAGCAAAATGATCCGTCTCACTTCTTGAACGATACGCACATTGTCGTTAACAATTTTATTAAAAAGACTGGCATATATACAGAAAAAATAACCGTGTTCGGATCCACATGTTTATACATTCTTATTTGTACAGCCTTGAAGACTGCTTCGCACTGTTGCGGAGCCGGAATAAAATGCCGAGCAAATTAATGTATTTACTGTACGCCTACCAAAACATAGCGAGACCGCATCTTCTTGCCTAGTGAATTCCCCTACCTTAGGTTTCATAACGTAGGTAGAAGGAATGGATATGGACTTGCACGCAAAGAAAGTCAATTATTATTCTCGTTCATTTATAGCTAGCAGCATGGGAACAACCTATTTCGACAAAGGACAAAAAGAAGCGTACAGTCACAGCGCAGTGTTTGTTCACTTCTTGTATCTTGTCCTTCTCCAAATTGTGATATTCCCACCTTAAATGATGTTAAACAAGCTCGCCCAGTTTTCTGAATTGTTGAATTTAATTTAGCTTGATTTTAGTGGTCTACCTACTAGCTGAAAAAATTTTAGGAGAAATATGTATTCCGTTTAGAGCTGCTTATGTGGAATATGTTTTTAAGGTACTTATTAGAAGTAATATTTGATTTTAACCCTTGTTTTTAGATGATGAATATGCGTGGAGAGTAAAAGTGGGAAAAACGCTTGAGAAAGTAGGAAGATGGCTACAAGGCAAATACTCGGCTGTCACTGAGGAAGAAGAGAAGGAGTTTGCATTGCTGAATGCTGAGCTGAAAGAACTGGCGGTCGGCGTGGCCGACGAAGTTGCCCGAGAAACAGGAAGTGTTGATGAATACGACGACGAAGCAGCTGCTTACGGCTGGGCAAAGTGGAGGAACAAGATTACCGGTGCAGTGAAGAAGGTCGCCAAGGCTGTTATAATCAACAAGGTCGCCGGCATTGTTCCCGGTGGACTCGGCTAGTTACAAATGACACTGTAGACTAGTGCGCCTTCGGGCATGTATTTTTGCAACAAAATAAATGAGTAACTAAGTTTGAATCACTTTTTGTTGTGATATTAACTTGATGCAGTGTTATTTCAACAAAACATTTTTGCACCTCACCGTTACAAAGCAGCAAGGCGCATATTTTGAACAATTCCTTAATTCTAAACTACATTTTTAGCGTAACCTATATCAGAGATGGTCTGATGTGAGATACTTTTTATCAGGGTGTCGAACCGAACCCGAAACCGAACCCGAATCCGAATCCAAACCGAAAATGGGATCAAAATCGTTATTTTTGACCGTACCGGAACAAACCCGAAACCGAAATCGAACGCTTCATATTGAACCCGAACCGGAACGAAACCATAATTTGATGTGGCGGTTACCGGTTCAACGAAAACGGTTCAGGGCCAATTGTGTCAATAATTGGTCTAAATGGTAAAAGTTGCAGGCGTATATTTTTTCTTATGTTGCCAAGACTAATCCTACATACTGTGAGATATTTTTACATTTTGTTTTTATTGCATACGTAATAAAAAAATACATCATCGTCGGGAGAGCTCCAACTTTCCTTTGTTTCTTGGATCGACCCTGGAGGCGTGGTAGCAGCGGCGGCGATTTCAAAGCACCGCTTGGCCGCTTGGCTAAGAAATGTCCAAGTGTCGGAGCGGATTGCGACCGCGAATGTTTAACCTCAGGATGGACCGCAGTTGCAGTCGAGGAGCCATTTAGCCAATCGAGCACCGAGAGCGCACTACGTGACCTTCCGCTTGAGTGCAGCGACAGCCTGGAGGAAGGGGGGACAAGTACCGAGCTCCGCCCCCCCCCCCCCCCGAAATCTTTCATTTTACTTGGACCTCCTCTCCCCCCTTCCTCTAATACAGCATTTTGTCATGAGCGGGCCCTTCCTCCCCCCCCCCCCCCCCCCCCCCCCCCCGCCCGAAACAAAATCCTGACTACGTGCCACGCCTTGCCACTTTAGTGGTGTCTTTTGCGTAGGTCACTGAGCAGAGTTTTCATATCTGCTTGAAATGCGAGTATAAACGTTGTATTGGGCTGGGGGGTCTATTGCAAGTATCTCGAGCTCAGAAAAGGCTGCAAGAAGTGCTCGGTTTTTATTTGGTTAATTGTTTATGTATAGATATACAGTTGTTGAGTTTTCTTTATTTGTAAACTGCTGGTGTGAGTATAGCTCGCAGGTAAGAGGAATCAATAGAGTTCAATTAAGTCACAAAAAACTTTTTTTCTGGAAAAATGATTTACGAAAAAGTTGAAGATCGCGACACAAACCGTGTAACTGAAGAAGGTGCGTAAACGGTCGAATGCTTTCGTAACAAGGTCGTGATACATGCACAATTGTCTCAGGATAAAGCGCAACTTAATTATATTTAAACAAGCAGTGAAAGCTACACTAGTGAGGGTTGTGCAGGTGAGTTATACGGAAACGGGACAGTATTGGGGCTAACTGTAAAAGTCAGTCGGGAAATTAACTAAACTATTGTTTTTAATGCATACTTTTTAAAAACAAGCCCATGGTTCTCATTAAAAAAGTGCTCAGCGTCGTCGCCAACCACTAAATCAATTGGTATTAGAAAGACTTAGAACACGTGGAAAGCACGGTGGAGCGCTAATGATACCAATCCTGGAGCAGGAGCAAGTTTACCAGAGCGATAATACTCCCGCGCGCTTTTTCCGTCTTATCATTGCCCCAACCTTGTTCCCCTTGCAGGAATGGTAACTTTATCACACTACTAAGATTCTCACGCGCACAAGTCTATTTAAATATACTCAATTAGTGATTCTATATGACGCGCAGGAAATACATAATTCGCAGTATATGGTTGATTTTCACTAACTAAAATATTAATTTAAAAACAAACGGTTTTCGCTCTCGAAATATTGTGACAGTTAGCCCTCTATATTGCGTCCCACTGATTGTAAAACTCAGCTGCGAAACCGCATTATTGTAGCTTTCACTTTTTGCACAAGTTTGTTAAGCTTTAAAAGAAATCATTCTTATAGATTCCTTATTATTTTATTATTTATTCTTTTAGTGCAAGTGAGTTATACCGCCGGGGGACAGTATAGGGTTTAATTGTAACAAACAGTCAGCTAATTAACTAAAATATTGTAATTTACACTTTATTATAAAAAGGAAACACATCGCTTATTCAGAACCTTGCTCAGTATCATCTAAAACCAATAAATCAATCGATAATCAAAAGACTTGGAGCACGTGGAAAGCACGATGGAGTACTTCTGTTACCATTCTTGGAGCAGGAGCAAGGCTACTGGTACGATAACACGCCCTCGCGGTTTTTCCTTCTCTTATCATAACTCCAGCCATGTGCCCTTGCACGAATGGTAACTTTATCACACTACTGCGCTTCTCGCGTGCTCAGTCTATCTGAATATACTCATTTGGTGATTCTCGATGACGCTCAGGACATTTATAATTTGCAGACTATGATTGATTTTGAAAAATTAAAAAGTCAATTAATAAACTTTAGTTTAATATAAAAATTATCTTGACGATTAGCCCTGCGTATTATGTCCCTCTGACCGTAAAACTCACATGAACAAACCGCATTATTGTAGCTTTTACTTTTCTAAACATGTCTGTCAACCTTAAAAGAAAACATTCTGTATATTCGCAATTCTTTTGATATGTTTTACCTTCGAGTGCTAGAATGATTTATTAAATTGATGCCTCAATCGAGGTGTTCTAACTTACTTTAATGTATCTAAAAATGTGCGGTACACAACTTGTTTTATATCTAAATTTAAGCAAACTATTCTGAGATTGTGGAGCTAGGTCTATTACGGTATATTTACAAGACAAAGTGTATCGTTCACTCAAAAACGGCTGTAGTAATAGAATTAAAATGTTCATATTTTGTAAGGAGCATAATGCTACAATGTCAACTTTAAACGAAAGTAATCAACAACATAAGCTTTTGTTATTTTCTTGTTCATTATTTATTTATTGAATATAAAATATTACCTAGTCCAATAGTGCATGGAAGTCGCGAACAAGATTAGTGCATTGCTTGTGTGCTTGTGTCATTATTGAATTACTTACAATTTTGAAACTTATAATTGAACCAACTTTGGAGACTATATAAATAATTCAACAGTAGACAAAAAAAGAAAGAAGTGCAAATTGTTTAGCTATCTGCTGAATAATGTTTTTTGTTCCATATATTATATGTATAACAAATATTGTCAGAGGTGGTGACAAAAAAAACAATAAAAAAGCAGGAAGAAATAAATGTTTAATATGGAACTTGTGCCAAGAATCAAAGGGTACAAACTATAATAACAGAGCGTCGCGGGCGTCGAACCCGGCGAAACCGCAGGATCGAGGGCTGGGGGGCGAGACTGGCTCCGGCATTGCAAGGGGAGCTCCTTTTGTTCAAGTGTGGGCTTCTGGAACATTTGGCCTAAAACGTTCTGCTCGTATAACATTCGTAACTCGATCGGACGGAAGGTTCTCAAACTTATGAGAACGCCACGTAGAAAGAATTAGTAAAAGAAGATTCCGCTCCCTGGAATCGAACCCAGATCCTTCGCACAAGAGTCAAGCACGCTAACCACTCGGCCACGCACGCGCCCGCTCCGCAACGCGCGTGGCAATAATATAGGTATTACTATTAATATTACAGGAACTATATCACGGTAAATAATGTGATTGCTTGCATAGTTGTGAACGGCTAACGAGGCATACGATTTTATAATCTGTTGTAAACATAAACCTAAAGTGGTTATGTTTAAGGCAGGGGTTTGAGATATAAATTCATATATAATTTATTCGAAAACAGCAAGTCTCATTTCAGAATCCACATTCTACGTCCTTAGATGCTTTCGTGTCCTTTGCAAGTCGAGATCAGTGCTGCGACCGAAATGACTGTTTTCTGCTTTACGTTGAGATTTGTTCAATACAAAATTTTCGTGTTTTGCAGCAATGGTTTTTAGACTCGCTCATTGCCCTGAATTTAAATAATGGTTTTGCGGCGGAATATTAAACAGTGACAAGTGTTGTGTTGTAGCCCTTGACAGCTTATAAAAATGCAGAGCATAGCGAGTTCAGAACATTTGGATTTTTGTTCAGCTGCTAGAGATTTCCGTAACAGCCGGTAAGAATGCCTCAGCACAAATTCGAAACAAGTAGCGTAAACATAATAATACTAATACGTAATAATAATAAAACTCTTCTTCTTAAGCTGTTGGTGATTATCGTGCACAGTCATGCTTTATCAAGAAGCGAATATAAAACGTATTATTTGCGATCGTGCTTCTCCTTGACGTGCAGGTGAGGAAGACCTCTGGAAGCAGGACGTGGGCAGAGACCTCGAGAAAGTCGGCCAGTGGCTACAGGGAAGATATGCAGCCAAGACGGAAGAAGAGCGCGAAGAGCTCGAAACGCTGAATGCTCGTCTGAAGGAACTGGCGGCAGACGTTGTCGAAGAAGTCTACGGAGAGGACAGGCACGAAGGCGACGGAGAAGCTGCCGCTTATGGATGGGGCAAATGGAGGAGGAGGATCACCGGAGCTTTCAAGAAGGTCGCTCAGGCCGTCGTGGTCAACAAAGTCGCCGGCGCCGTCGGCAGTGCCATTGGATAATTTTGAGATGGAGGGACGACAAGCATTTTTGCTTCCCTAAAAGATTTGACGGCGTCAAAAATAAATTGATTCGATGCAAACACTGACCCATGGGTATTTTGCGGGTAGTGAGGCGGCATTTTAATTATTTCTCCAGTGAATAACAAGGCTACTGTTGCTAATAACTTAAGAAATGCAGGAAGTGACTTAATCTGCTTGCGCGTTTAGCCTTGTGATTCGCTCCTCAGCGTTCTTATTTGCAAATACGGCTGCACTATTAGCTACAGTGTGATAGCAAGATGTTTCAAAAACGCGATGCCTTGAGTTTCTTAAAATATCAGTGACTATAAAAAAAAGAAGAAAAAAAAAATAAACTTCCCGACTTTGGTGATTGCATTTTAAGTAATGTTTCGGAAATAGAAATAGTTAAGTGACTTGAAAGATTATAAATTGCGCTTCATTGCGTTAGAATTGTAGAGACGAGGTCTCTTCTTGCGATAGTCTTAAAGCTGTACTCATACCATAAACTGAAAACGAGTCTCACCAATGGAAATTCGCAAGTGTAGACATTTTCCTTTTTTTTTTTTTACAGAATTCTAGAAGGGCCTTTATTAAGCACGTAACCAGCATAATTTAAAAATAAATTTTAAAATTAACTTCGGGAGTTTTTACTCTTATATAAGCACCGAAGGTATTTGATATAAAACGTTATCGACTTACGAGACTACATTAAACACATTTTGTGTAGATGTAAAGATGAAAAAAACAAGGCATTTGAAAGGCATGTGTTTTTTCAGCTTAGGCACCGCAGGATTTTCCCTACATCATGCAGAAGAGTTATACTCATCACGTGTACCCGAGGTAATATAGGCATACGCTGCTAGACACGGGATATTATATCAAAGATAACAAATCAATTTCGTGGAAACTTATCAAGCTGTTATTTTCCGGACTAACAATTATGTAGAAAATGAAAGGCAACGCGGGCAATGAGCACTTTTTCTGAGGTTGACTCTAGGTAAGTCTCTTAGAACCGCCATATTTGTCACTATATTAATCTTATGGTGTCTGTTTCAATATTATTATTAACACTTCTTTTAGCTTAAAGTGTAAGTAAAACCGCCATAACAATACTGCATAAAAAGCCTGCTGCAAAGGTATTCTTTAAAAAATATGTACTTTGGATGATATATCAAGAATGATTTCGAGTTTTCTATACAGTCGTGATTTCCTCGAAGGAGACATGTTGAGCTATAAAAATAAAAAAGGTAATAGCATGTTTTCATCATTTATGAACCTTCAATAATTGATTGGAAAGAAATACGAGAATATATAATGATGTTTGCTATGATGAAGTAAGGAACCACAACTGAATATTTCGATCTTATTTTTCCTTTCTTAAACTCGATTTAATGCGCAAATTTTCTCAACAGCGCAGCATTATGGAAATGAAGCTATATCTCCCGCTGTGCCTGGCTTTGGCACTGAATGCATGTGAGTAATAGATTTTTACATAATTGCAGTCCCATTGCTTCATTTGTAGTAATTTGCGCAATTAGCAGTTCATGTCCTGAACGCGGCATGCTCAAGTGAACATGTGAGCATCTACATACCTGTTGTGGGGGGCCGCGAGGCCCTGCCACGTTATTTAAAGTGAGGACATAGAACGAGACAAGCGAACGACGTGTCTGCCTGTGATGGCGGCTTCAGAGCATTCTCTTGCACGCGCTCTCCGAGGCGCGTGCGCGTGCTGCGCCTCGAGCCATCTCTTTTATTTTCATGAGAAGAATGGATCTGTGGGTGCGTTGCACCCTACAGATGTGCCCCCCCTTAGCGAGGAGCCCCAACGAGCGATAAAAGAAAACGAAAAGAACAACGACAACACACAATTAGGGCGCTAGCTCTGGCCATGGGTTTGTCCAATGAACTTGAGCAGACTTCCTGCGAGACTTCGGGCTTTCCTCGCGCGTCTCACATGTGATGAGGTTCACGGGTGCGTGCTCGAGATGGGCTGGCTTTAGACGCTCGAGAGCGATGGTGTCTTGTCGTCCATTGATCTGTACAACGAAGCCACTTGGCTTCTTTTCCAGAACCGGGAACGGTCCCATATAGTGTGGTTGGAGCGGTTTCCGTCTGGCTGTTTGGCGCACGAACACATGCGTTGCACTGTACAAGTCCTGAGAGACGTAAGGAGTCTTGCCAAATACCGCGCGCGTAGGAACTGGTCGTAGGTCTGCAAAAACCTCCTTCAGCTTTGTGGCGTAGTCTTCTGGCCTCGTGTTTGGAGACGGGTCGACCTCGAAAAAGTCTGATGGTATTCGGAGGGTCATCCCATAGACTTGTTCAGAGGTTGCACAGCCGAGGTCCTGCTTCAACGCCGTTCGAACTCCGAGTAAGACGAGTAGAAGCTGTGGTACCCATTCCTTGGAGTTCGCGTCGGCCATGAGCGCGGACTTGAGGTGTCGATGGAAACGTTCCACCAGGCCGTTAGACTGCGGATGGTACGCAGTTGTCCGAGATCTCGTGATGCCTAGGATTCGGGACAACTCGGTGAACAAGTTGGATTCGAATTGACGCCCTCTGTCGGTGACGATTTCAGATGGGCATCTGAAGCGCGCCACCCAGGACGAGACGAATGCCTCGGCGACGGTGGCTGCAGTCATGTCGGGCAATGGTGTAGCTTCCGGCCACCTTGTGAAGCGGTAGATACAGGTCAGGATGTATCGTTGCCCTTGAGATGTCGGAAGGGGCCCCACCAGGTCGATGTGGACCTTGTCGAAACGGGCATCTGGTGGCAGGAAGCTCGTGGATGAAGGCACGGAATGACGGTGAACCTTGGCTCGTTGACATGCCAAGCAGGTCCGCACCCAGTCACGCACGTCGGACTTCAGCCGAGGCCAAACGCAGCGATTGGCCACTAGCTTCTGTGTTGCCTTCACGCCGGGATGCGACAACGAATGAATGGCATCAAAAAGCGGCCTTCGTAGCGCCATCGGAACGAATGGGCGATGCGTTCCTGTGGACGTGTCGCAGACGATGGTGATGCATCCTGGGAACTCAACATCCTCTAGCTGGAGAGAGTTGTTTGATGTGCGGAGCTGCTGTAGCTCCTCGTCGGATGCCTGATGACGAGCCAGCAACGTGATGTCGAGTTGCGGAGCAGGCGAAGGTACGGCGTCAATTCGGCTCAGTACATCAGCGGGACGTTTGATTTCCCTTTGATATACCGGATGTCCGTCGTAAACTCCGACAAGAATGCCAGCTGGCGGATCTCTCGAGGGGTATAGACAGAGCTTTAGTTGCGGATGGCGTAGGTGAGTGGTTTATGGTCCGTCCAGATGACGAAGGGGCGACCTTCGACAAAGTGTCGAAAGTGCCGGACGGCCAAGTACGCTGCGAGCAGTTCTCTTCCAAAGACGCTGTAGCGGGTCTGGGCGGGCTTTAACTTCTTGGAAAAGAAAGCTAGGGGCTGCCATTCACCGTCCACCTGTTGTTGTAGGACCGCCCCAACAGCCGTAGCTGAAGCATCTGTCATGATCGAGGTTCTGGCATCGTGTTGTGGATGTCGCAGAAGTACAGCGTCTGCAAGTACACTCTTTACTTCACAGAAGGCTTGCTCCGCGTCTTCACCCCAAGGCAGGTTGGTAGTGGCACGTGCAGTCTTTGCTAGTAGAAAATCAAGAGGCTGGAGTAGCCTCGCGCAGTTCGGAATGAACCGGCGGTAAAAATTTACCAGGCCGAGGAACTGGCGAAGCTTTGTGATCGAGCTAGGTCTTGGAAAGTCCCTGATCACTTGCACTTTCGACGGCAAAGGTCTGATGCCGTGTCGGTCCAGTCGATGTCCCAGAAACTCGAGTTCTGATCTGCCAAACTCACAATTGCGGCGTTGATGATGATGCCGTGGTCTGAGAGTCTTTGGAAAAGAAGACGGAGGTGGTTGGCGTGCTCCTCCGTTGTCGAGCTAGCGACCAACATGTCTTCAACGTAGGCAAATACGAAGGGAAGCCCGCGCGTGACGGCGTCGATGAATCTCTGGAATGTTTGAGCCGCATTACTGAGGCCAAAGGGCATGCGGAGAAACTCAAACAGACCAAACGGAGTTGTAATAGCTGTCTTTGGGATATCTTCGTCAGCGACGGGGATCTCGTGGTACGCGCGGGTAAGGTCAACCTTCGAAAAAATGGTCGCGCCTTGGAGGTTGACAGTAAAGTCCTGAATGTTTGGGAGGGGGTATCTATCGGGCACTGTGCTCTTGTTCAGTGCGCGATAGTCGCCACACGGTCTCCAATCTCCGTTCTTCTTGGACACCATGTGTAGGGGAGACGCCCAGCTGCTTGACGAAGGTCGGATAATTCCAAGCTCGAGCATGTGCTCAAATTCTTCGCGAGCGATGCGGAGTTTCTCTGGAGCCAGACGACGGGGTCGGAAGTGAACCGGTGCGCCCGTTGTTTCGATGTGATGGTGGACATCGTGCGAAACCGGTCTGGTCCAGTCAGGAGCTCGCGTGAGGCTTGGAAAATCCTGGAGAGGAGGTCGGAATAGCCCGTCGATGCTAGAGCAGACTGACGCGATTCCTGCGGTGTCAGTTGTTGAGACGCCTTGCACGGAGAGCCGCGTTGTGGAGTCGAGCAGACGTCTCTTTTTGACGTCTACAAGGAGGCTGAGGTGTTGTAGGAAGTCAGCGCCAATGATCGCGTTGCCTACGTCTGCGACCAGGAATACCCATCGGTAGACTCGTCTGAGGCCAAGATTTATGGTGATGGACCGTTCCTTGTAGACGGGGATCGACGAGTTGTTCACAGCCCGAAGGTAGTAGATGGGCGTCTGTGATCGATCCGCGCGTTTTGCAGGAACAGCGCTTACCTACGCCCCGGTATCGACGAGATAACGATTTCCCGTAGTCCTGTTGGCGATGTAAAATAGGCGACTTCCTGGTAGGTTCTGACTACTCGTTGCCTCTATCGGTTTGCTCCAGGAGCAGGGACGAAGGCAGTGCCAGGCGTCGGAGCCAAAGCGACGAT